CAAAATGAAATAATTTATTTTTGTTGTAAGTAAATAAAAGGCAAGTAATAAGTCCCAGGGGTTATGCGAAAACACAAATAAAAACACAAGAAATAATCTATCAATAAAATTCTGCCGAGGTAGGCGAAGACAGACACGGAAACATTTTGGAGAGGATTATAAACCTACGACAACGTTCCTCCAGGGCAGAGAAGCTACAGTGGAAAATCCGTTACTGTGGGTTTACTTCGAAATCCTCGGCCTAAACTCCCTTTTATGTAAAGGGTATGGATAATAACCTCGGTCTCAACATCTTATTATTCCGTATAGCCGAAGCTGCCATTATGGAACCTGATGGGAAAGGCAGATTGTACGTAAACTGCTGTGGAACTGATTGCGTTGTGTAGGACGGGCTCAGTGGTGCCTCATTTTGCAGAAAATACAGAGAATCTTGTGTGAGAGAAAGATACATTTATTATCATTTAATAAAATCAGCAGTGAGAATGCTGTGTAGTATAAAAATACCAAATTCATGTTTAAATCCTGAGCTTCTATTTATTTAGAAAATGTGAGGAAAAGCGAAGTCATCCACTGATTGATGAATGGGTTCAAAGTCGACACACGACTATCACCACAGGCCTACTAAAGCGATGGATGAAAAGCTTCTTAAGTACTGTGTCCTGGATGGATTGTTGTCTTCTGGGTGAAGGCATCCATCTCCCGTGCAGTCAATATGGAGGCGATATGTTCCTTGGTAATCATTTACTAGTCTACACTGCGTCACGACCCAGACGACCACAATCCACGCATTCAACGTCATGACAACCTGAAATATCACTCGAAGTATTCTTACGTAGAATCTGGCACATCTCCACACCATAGATAATAATACAGCGCCATGACTCGGCCGGCAGAGACTCGTTTGTAACATGGACTGTAGACTGCGTAGAGAAGTTGTCAGTGAGTTAGGGAACGACCTTATCTTGAACACCACAAGAACTGACTGCAAATTACAGTTTCAAGAAGAAAAAGAACAATTCTGTGTCTTCATTCTGGTAAAGTTCTATATACGTACATCTCTTACGTACTTTGGTGCTGCTACGTATTCTGGATAATTAACTGCAAAGCAGCAGATTCTTAAACTTGAAGCTGATAGTCGTTCAGTCATTCAGGATATCGTCTGCTTTTCTGGAATACGATAGTTAAATACTTTTATCACAATAGTCCTTCACGAATCTAGAAGGATTTTCACGACGGTGAGTCTTAATATGACTAGCTGCTTCTGGGTTGTTGTGCCCCCAAGCACATCTAATACGTCGGTAAACTTCCACCAGACTACGCGGTGCAATAACCTAGGAGACAGCCACATTCACGATGAACCTCGACTCTAAGCAGGAAAAGGACTCGGTTGAAGCAGCTGGTGCTTCAGAGACGTGAAACTCCGGTTGATGTTGTGTGCGGAACTTTAACCGAAGTCAGAGCAATCTTCCACACTCATGCTAGTTCCTCGTGACATGAACAGGTGCATCGCCAGTAACTCATACACACCACACGACAACACACATCGCTAGTGTTAATTAAAGCGACCACCTCTCTGTCGGAGAGGGTAACACAGTAGGACGACCTTGTCAGACCAATCTGTTGGTGAGAGCATTAAAACCATTCGCCATGAATCCACCTTGTTCGAATATATCTGAGTTGTTTCATGTCGGTTTAAGCTCTACACGTTTCATAAACAAAAATTTACATGTCATTAAAGGATAGTACAAATTAGGAATACCGGAGAACTTATACTATTACTACGCCCATAAAATATCCAAAAATGAAACATTACAAATAAATGAATATAAATAAACGTTGCTGTATATGACGGTACTGTTCTTCTGGGTTTCGGCGCCATTCAGCTATGAAGATGGAGACAGTATGTTTATCCGAAGTGCTGGTATCCACCGACGAGTCTACACAGCGCCGAAACCCAGAAGAGTAGTACCGTTATCCTCGTCGTCGTGGAAACCCTAGATCTCACACAGTGCCGTACATCTATGACAATTAAGAACGTGGTATTAAAAATAAAGTATAATTATCTTGAAAATTTTTACTCTGTCGTGTAAAGATCCAAGATTCCTTTCGTAAAAGTATTTGAGATCTAGTAATATGGAGATATTATCTATCAAAAGGTTAGGTTATGACCCGTTCTACAATTAGACAAAAAAAGGCTCCATGAACTGGAAGCATGAAAATGACATTCTTATTCCCTTAAGGTTCTGGGTAAGCAGAGTAAGACTGATACAAGTTCCTCACACATCTACGATCTGGCGCTTGATACGTCTAGCTGAAAATCAACCAAGCTTAATTACATCCCATTGTTTTCCGGTCTCCAGCTCGATTTAATATGTGCAAGATTGCTCTTCGGGCGACATTAAACACAGCGCTAATTTCTATCTTCATTTCAAGCTGTGGGGAAAATAAAATTAAAAAATAAAAGAAACACGAGATGCGAATAAATTTACAAGAATTTTTCTTAAAAGTGGATAATTAAGAAGAAGGAAATTACGTGGAAGATGAAATGTGGCGGATGTTTCGTCAGAGTTTGCACGTACGGCAATGCTTAATA